TTGCCCCCAGAAATTTTCCACTAGAACGACAAGAAAAACCGTGTTCTATTTTCCTTTCGGCCAGATTTTCCAGGGACGTTTTGACAATGGTATATATAAGGAATGTCTTATCACGGTACACTCTATTCTCTTTTTCTGTAAGAATATATTTTATACGAATAGCGAGGCTGAAAATTGCGAAATTAAAAAAAACATGGTAAGAATAAACCACAGGGTTGAAAAGGATCGATATAATTTTTTTGTGTTGAAAATCAGCTAATAGATACACTAAAAATATGTGTTTTTAACTTAACTGTGAAAGAAGTATTTCTTTCTCGGCAAAACTAGCAACGAAAACGTGCCCAAAGGCATGCAAACTTTCTTTGTCAATACTCGCGTTTATCGATCGTGGAAACTTCTCAACTTTACCTTCAATTCTCTTCTTGACTGCTATTGCATATTGCATTCAATTGCTGCGATCGACGTAAATAAGACACGGATTTCTGGTGTGTTTCCAGTTCAAGAGGGCAGGAAGTAATTAAACACGTCCTAAAATAAGGTGGGATATTCTAAAATGTTGATTTTGGAAAAATATGCAATTATTTCCTCATCTTGTTCCAATTTTTATAAGCAAAACTGGAAAGATTTGACTATTTGACAAATGTTTGTTTGCTTAGAAAAGATGCACCCAAAAAAGCTGATTATGTTCCTAAAAAAGTAGCAAATTGTTGCATCAAGAATTCAGTCTATTTGCTGAATTTCTGCCATAAATACGTCTCTGGAGAGTCCTCGGCTAAATGCAGCAAAGAAGCTGTTAAACCTTGACAAAAAGACAATTTTATCATCTTGTAAATTTGAGTCAGTTTCTTGGAATCCTTTCCATGACTGTATTTCTTAAGGCAAAATATTTCAAAACTTATTGGTTTCTTGCCTATAAGCATTTATTACTGTGGTCTCAGAAGTCTGGAGAACATTAACAAAAACGCAACTCAGAAAATACAGTTTCCATGAGCCACAGAAATTTCTTTGACATCGACTCACCCGCAGAAATTTCTGAGACAACGACTCATCGGCAGAAATTTCTGAGACAAGGATCCACAGAAATTTCTGGAACAACGGTCCAGAGAAATTGCTGGGACAACGATCCACAAAAATTTCTGGGACGATTAGAACGTATAAATTTCTGAGGCCCTTTAATGCGCAGTAGATTATATTTTCAATTTGCTCTGCGCTTTCAATTCCCTTCCGCCAATGAAAAAAAAATCATTTTTAAGACAATTTACAGCTCGTTCTTCGTGATATGTGATAGAAAACAAAGCTAGACAGAAGGCCTCCTTCATTTTCGTATTGGATACCACGGTGTTTTTTTTTGCTTAATTGATCCGGCAGAGTCTGCTTATCTCCGAATACCCCCTAAAAAACTCTTGATGCGTCTAGTTTATTATCATCTAAAGCATGGTGTTAAACAAAAAAGACAGGTACCAATGGCAATAATGGTATTAGGTTTCAAAATTAAAACCAGCAGAAGCAAAAACAAAAAGCTCTCGTTCGAAAAAAATAACCCACCGGTGGCGCTTAAACTGGGTATATTTATTTAGTCTTTAAAAAGACAGCATGTTAAAACTGAATTATTAAAAGATAAAGCTCTTCGTGGCCGTAAAAGTTAACGTTGCTAATTTGAAAAAAAGAAAATTTGTCTTTGACATGAGAACCTTGGAAACAGTAGTATGACCGAAAGCAATTTATTGAACAACATTGCTTTGTTTTGCTACATTTGCTCACAGTCTGCTTTCTCCAGATAGCTCCAGTAGATCTCCAATGCTCATCTATAGGTCACTAGTATAAAGCGAGATTTTGAATGAAAACAGTTGACCACGTTGTCGATAACATGACATTATGTTTTAGATTATGTCTCAAAATTAAAAGCCGATGGACGCGAGCTAAAAGACAGAATTCTCTTTTAAAACCGGCATCATGCCTTAGAATTTAAATTATTTGAAACCAGGAAAATGTGGGCGGAAGAGGTGGGACAGTCTTAACAGGTACACATATGCATATATGGGGCTTTTAGTCTGATGAAAAGGGTCGTTTTTTTCGGTTGGTATAGAGTTTCATTTATGTGGAATTGGAGACTGGAGTTTCTGGTTCTCTCGGCTGGGGAAGGGATTTTTGGTGGCTATTCTAGCTAAGGGCAGCACCACTGACTGGACAACATATCACAAAGGTCAGTTTTGGAAATTTTTAAAGTTTAGCTAATGCTGCAATTCCAATCCTATTATAATGGAATTTCCCCAGACGCACATACCCTTTGTGTCTTTTGATGTATTAAAGCTAGTGAAGCCATAGCCGAAGGGAGTTAATGATTAATGATTAATGATTAACAAAGAAGTCGTGAAACAAAATTTTAGGATTGTTTGGAAGAAGACAAGAAAGTACCACGCAGAGGAATTAACTTTACACAGGGACCTTTTCTAGGGGATATCATAATAGACAAGGTATGAATATTGCTTGCTGAAATAAACTGAAATAAAATGGTGGAAACAAATAAAAGTTAAGCTATGGATAAAACCCTGAGCAATGATAAATATTGACTTTTTAGTGTGTGTCATTTGACTCCGTGATAAGTGTGAAACAGGTGCCTCAGGAGAGAATATATAAA